CACACTACTTTAGCATATTCGATTATGGGTCTTAGCAAAGTTTTATAAGCTAAAGTTTTAACTTTGGGAGAGGCACAATGAAGGTTACGTCTCGGGCCTCATAACACATTGTTAGTTTTGGAACAAAGTTCCTCAACATGAAGATTCCAACGCAAGTCGGGTGTAAATATGAGACCTAGGTATTTATATTGCTTAGCCTGAGCAAGTTCGTGACCGTTAATACTGTACGGATAACTAAGAATGTTCTTTTTTCTAGAAGTGGACATAAAAACAGTTTTTGTTGGGTTAAGCTGCATTTGCCACTGATCGCACAAGTTTTTAATTCTCTCTAAGTTAAGATTAAGTTCGGCCTGGTCGCTCGGTGACTGTACATTTTTGTATAATATGCAATCGTCAACAAACATTCTTATTTGGGTAGTAATGTTTTGTGGCAGATCGTTTATAAACACCAGGAACAAGAGGGGCCCCAAGACACTATCCTGGGGCACACCAGATACCACAGGCAATATACCAGATTGGTGGTGCCCTAGTTAGACATATTGTTCTCGGCGTGCAAGATAGGAACTGAACCACCGGTTGAGGGCAGAATTATTAAAGGTACTATCGATTTTAAGTAGAAGGTTATTGTGCAACACCTTATCCAAAGCTTTTGTGAAGTCTGAAAATATTATGTCAGTTTGACCACGAGTATTAACTGTGCTAGATAAGTCTTGTACAAGCTTAATAAGCTGAGTAACGGTGGATAATCCTTTCCTAAAACCATGCTGAGAGGAAACAATTAAATTATGTTCATTGAGATAGGTTAGCAAGTGCTTTGATACAATGTGCTCTAATATTTTTGAACAGGTGCTTGTAAGCGATATAGGTCGGTAGTTGCTAGCGTGAGATGCGGAACCACCTTTGTGTATGGGCACGATTTTTGCAGGTTTCCAAGCACTGGGAAAAGAGCCACTATTAACGATATGATTAAAAAATTAATGTTGAAAATTTCGATGACCATTCGGCATATCTACAAAGAAATTCATTGGGAATATTGTCAGGACCAGGGCTTTTTTTTGGTATTTGTATGAAGCAAGAGGTTTAAAACGCCCTCTTCAGTGATGCTTATATCCTGGATCGGAATCATATCTAAGGAATCACTGATGTTGGGTACAGTACCATCATCGATTGTAAAAACTGACTAGAAGAAGGAATTAAACGCCTCTGCCTGATCCTTGCTACTTCTATGATTAGACATACTACTAGGCCTGGTCGAAGGATTTACGTACCTCCAAAATTTGTCTGTGGATTCTTTCAGAAATTGTTTCAACGTTGAGTTATAAAACTTATTTTTAGATATCTTCACACTTTGCCGGAGGCTTTTACTTGAAACCTCGACGTTCTTCTTTTTTCAATGCTTGGATTGACAGAGCACGCCTTTCGCATACGTTTAAGCTTTCCTTTAGCGTGTATTATATCATAATCCAAGGGTTTCGTTTTTGTCTCATTTTTACGACGTTTGGGAATGAATTGTTCGATACAAAACATTATCGTAGAACCGCCACAGTTCTTCTGTTGACTGAGATGTTCGGTACATTTCCAGAAATGAATAATATGACTGCTCCAGATGTTTTAGTATGGCTAAGTTGTTTGCGGCACTAAAATTTGGGATCATAAGTTTTTCATCATTGTGCATGACATTGACATACAGATCTAAAGACAATAAAACCATTTTATGATCAGAAAGACCGTCCTCAATATCACACATACCAAGAAACGGGAGCAGTGATCCAGATAAGAACATCAAATCAAGCACTGATGAAGCGGTTGGACCCACACGCATACAAGATGAGACGACCTGAGTCAGATCGTAGCAGAAAACGAGCTCTAGCAGCTGATAACCTTTAATAACTTCGCTTCCCTCTGAAGTCAGCGTCGACCAATTAATTCCAGGGAGATTAAAGTCTCCTATAAGGATAATAATATCATCATGCTTCAGGTAGGAATCCATAAAGCTTGTTAAGTTATCAAGTGCGTTCACTGGGGAGTTCGGAGGTCTATACATAGCACCAATCTATACCGAGCGATGACTGAGCGTGGTTTTAATCCAAAGAGCTTCGACATCAATAGCGTGTGGAAGAACACTAACTAATATATTATTTTTAATTAAAATGGCCACACCTCCTTTTGTTTCACGGTCTCTTCTCACGATTTTGTATCTAGAAGGAGTAACCTCGGCATCCAGTACGTCTTTCTTCAACCATGTTTCGGTCATTACTAAAAAGTCGGGATCATGTTCTAGTACCACAGCCTCAAGATCCACCATTTTATTCATAATACTTCTGACATCAATATTTATTAACTTTAACCGGTTAAAACTACTCTGACACCGTCAGTCGCCATCACGACGCCTGTCAGTTGTTTCGGGCGGTGTCTTACATATGTACTTTATATCCCCGTGCCAACCCTACACCACATCATTTATTTTCATTTTGTCAAAAATAAGCTTAACCTTGGCCCCCGTTTTTCTCTCCTCAGCACTAGACTCCCACAGCCTTCTGCGTATCTCAACAACTCATTTAGAAAAATCTTCGTTTATGCTGACCTCCTTACCACGCAGTTTAAAGCAGTTTCTAGAGTACTAGTCTTTTCTCTGAAATCTGAAACTCTCAGGATAACGAGCCTATCTTTGCCCCCTGTTTTGCTCCTAAGCGATGACTTCGTTCAACTGAGTTAATTTTAAGGTTTAGCAGCTTATCAAAAACGTCGACGTTAACCTTTTCACGTAAAACATCTTCAGTTTCATTGATGTCTTCTTTTATCCCTCTGATAATAAGATTATTCCTCTGAGAGCGGTTTTCGAAATCGTCAAGTCGCTTGAGGAGGGCATTCCTGTCGGTGCACGACTTAGTAACGAACTCATCAACTTTTTGACTAACAGTTGCTATTAAGGTTTCGGCTTCACTGGCAGATTTCTCAAGGCTAGCAAGCCTGAGAGGGGCTTCGCCCAGAATTTCTAGCCTTTCCTCTATTTTCAAAAGCCTGCCCTCTACCCGAGCCTCAAAAGATGCTTGTATTTTTTTTATTTTGGTTACTTTCTCCAGGACCGCCTTTTGTGTCTTAATTATTTTGTTAAGCTTTTCTTCAGTGATAGGCCCGGGATTTTCTTAAACATCACCCGAATGTGACACTAGCAAGCTGGCAATGGCAAAACATTCAGATAAACAACAAAGAAGAGTATGTGGACACGGCAACACACTAAGCACAGGTAATCACTGCGAAAACAGTATTTTCGATCACCAACCTGGACAAAGAACGAAAAAGTCTGACATTTTCACGGCGGTACCGCCGTGTCCACTGATGCTTGCAGAAGCAAGCGTCCCTTTTAAAGCATGAAAGCTAGCGGGTCCGGGATGTGCTGGTGACGTCAAGGTGCGTAAAGAAGATGCGCTGTAGCCATACTCCACGTGTGGCAGCCGCCGCAGAAGAGTGTCATCCGAGATTGCGCCTAGGACATCGTTTGGCAGAAGTGAAGGCGATGCAAGCTGGCAGTGTCCATTTGCCGTGAAAGTTTCAGCAGCGCTGATCTAAAAGCACCCAGCTAGAGCCTGCACAAAGAGTGGGAAAGTTGGTGACATTGTCATGGCGGTGCCGCCGTGTTCACTGCCTTCAACATGCGATGGAACATAATTGTCTATGCAATAACTTATAACACATTTCAATTCTTGTCATAACTCCTCGACTGATTTTAAACCAAAGGTGCTTTTGAAATTTTCAAGTTGAATTTTCAAATAGTCAATAATTGAAGTATCATCAGCATTAGCATAGTCTAACTTTTTCGGGTACCTATCTCTTCACATGTCGCATTGCTCGAACAGGCAGATCAAGACAGATAATCCCATAGTCCGATGTACCATATTCAATCATCACCCTGTAATCATTTAATTTATTTGATAGGAACACCAAGTCTAGCAACAACTTAGACATCAGCGTAATTCTGGTATCTTCAAGCACTATTTGTTTCAGATTTCAGGTAAACATAATTTCAGGCATTTTTTTGGTGTTTACTTGTTTCTTACCACTGCAAAAGACTTTTCAGTTTATATGTGGGATATTGAAATCTCCAGTCATTACCAACCTAGTGTTCACATTTACATGAGTGCATAGAAAGTTTTTCAAGGACATCAGGAACTTGGGGGAGCTTGAGGATTGTCGATATACAACTCCGATAAGCAAAATAGTATTTTTGCAAGTTATTCTACACCAGAGAGTTTCTGGTACTTCACAATCAACGAAGGATTAAGAGAACATTTAGTAATTATACATACCCCATCTCCTGTGAGTCCTGGTCTTTTCTAAATATGTTGTAATTCGAAGGTACAATACAATCAATCTGTACATTTTTATGCAATCATGTTTTATGCTATTGTGGTTATGTGTGGATTATCTGAAAGCAATAAGTACTCAAGGTGCATAGTCTTGTTCACTATACTGCGAGCATTGAACGAGAGCAATCTTAGCTATTTTTTTTATGCCTCCAAAGAGATGCATGAGCCCTCAGATCAGTTTGACTTGGGTGATACGATACGTTTGCTTCGCTTCGTATTACCAGTATCACATTTGCTTGAGTACAAATAGTGCTTGCCTCTGACGTCATCCCACTTGTATAAGTCATCATTTATTCTGAGTTTATTATGCACAAGAACTACTTTCGCTCCCGCCTCCCTATCCAAAGCAGTGCTTTGACATATTACATAGTGGTATATGTGGGAGCAACAAGCATGGCGGATATTTGTCCACGAGATCATTGCTCAAATAGCTGTTAAAATTAGAGCTAGAGCAGTACTAGCTTTCGCTTGATAGCGATGGAATGGACCTATGGATATCTGTAAGTAAGTGCTAATTTGTATGATCAAAAGGTTTCTTAGAAATGGAGGAGGTTGTTCTGATATTTGATTCCTTTGCAGTTTGAAGTGCTGTAGTTTGAGGAGCATGAGTGAGATCTCTGGACACTATTTCAGATTGCAGCAGCTCATTGTTAAGGCACCAATCATGGTCTTCATGAAAGGCTCACCTGACGCTCCTCGGTGCGGCTTCAGCCGAACTTTGATGGAGATCTTCAAGAAGCACAAGTACGGCAATCTTGATATTTTGTTCATTGTCTTGGATGATATTTTCTGTCTTGCTTCGAAGTATTGTCCACATAACTGTTGAAATCCTATGAATAATGAATGAAAACTTGATTTTCTGAGTTTTTTAAAAAATCAATTGATTGACTGTCACAATTGTGAAAAATGTCTGTTGTTCTTGCTCACGTCGAAAAAGGAGTTGCAGCAGGTCATTCATTTTTGTTATTTACTATCTTTATTGAACAATAGCTCCTGATTTGATTCAAGTTTTTAATTTATTTAACAATGAATCTTATGCAGGAGCATAAGGCAAGTAAAGTAGATTCTCAGTAAATATAAATCTGTTAAATGGAACTGCTGCATAATATACAGAACAGGTGCTTCTCGCAAAACTTGTTTTGTTCTTGTATTCTGCGCTCTTGTTCATATCTTAGTAAACGGAACTCCTGTTAAACGTAACTTTTTTTCCTGGTCCTTTCAGCTTCCGTTAAATAAGAGTCTACTGTATTTGCACCTGTCATTGTGGTTTTACTGTGTGCCAGTTTATTGTGGCTCCTTCGTTTTTGGTATCACTATGAGGTCTTTGAACCATTTGTCTATTGACTCAGCAGCCCCACCGAGGTGGTCTAGTGGCTAAGGCTAAGGTGTCTAGTGGCTAAAGCTGCTGACCCGCAGGTCACAGGTTCGAATCCCGGCTTCGGCGACTGCATGTCCGATGGAGGCGGAAATGGTGTAGGCCCGTGTGCTCAGATTTGGGTGCACGTAAAGAACCCCAGGTGGTCGAAATTTCCGGACCCCTCCACTATGGCGTCTATCATAATCATATGGTGGTTTTGGGACGTTAAACCCCACATATCAATCTATCGATCTATTGACTCAGCAATGAAATAAGGCCACTATGTGGCGGTGCTGTTGAGTAACTATATACTTATTAAGTTGATCAAGTTGTGCAAATGTTTGAAGTGCCTTTGCCAGATGGCCATTGCACCACTCAAAGATGGCATTGGTCACTGTGCTTATTTTATCGTATTGTCAAAGCATGACTTGGGTTCAGCCATCTTATGTGATGATTACTACCCATTCCAGAGTCACTTTTGGCAGCTTTGACATTCTGACAGATGAAGAGGTACGACAGTCTCTCAAGCAGTACTCTAACTGGCCAACATACCCACAGGTGTACGTAAAAGGAACACTTATCGGTGGCCTCGATATTATCAAGGTATGCAAAACAATTGTCTTGTACCCTATTTCACATGGTGTGATTTTGCCTGTACTTTTCAAAAATATGTGACGTTATATGAGTGGAAAAGGGGCTCTTTTGAAAATGCTCATTCAAAGTGGGTGGTGAACCTAATACAGTCGATCCCGGATATATCGAACCCGAAGGGGATCACAAAATAGTTCGTAATATCAATAATTCGAAATACAAAGCATGTGCAATATGTGCCACGATCGCACGACACTAGAACTTGTCGAGGCCCACCACGTTAACGCGAGGGCTCCCATGTGTGTTAGCAATCCTTCTTTTGCCTTATCGGAAAAGGAAGTCACGCTACTTATTGAAAGGGGTTAGTCCAGAGGGGAGGGGGGTGCAGGATGTGTGTTCTAGGTTCGTATTAGTGCCTTTTGTTTCGCCCACGATGCACATGCGTGGGATTTTGTTGGGCACCTAGTATGAGTGTTATATATTTTCGGTTCAAGCATTAAAGCTTTAAATTAAGAGTAAGCGCTTGTGGTGCACCCTTCCTTATCCGTGTTTTTTTGCGCTACATTTACGCTATTATGGCACGTTGAATGCCTTAGCAATAACACACAAAACTTTTTTTTTGTCTTGAAGTTGTGTCGTCCCAGCCACGGTCCTGGCAATAGATGTCCGGTACAGTCGCCAGGCCAATGGGCACGCGCCGTTGTTACTTTATCTGGGAGAACACGCCTTGAATTAGAGCGGAAGTGGCACCTTACCCCACTGTGAAAGGAGAAAGGGTGGGAAGTGTTTGTGGTGGGGGGGAGGGGGAGGGGTGTAGCGGTTAGAAAATTGCTTGGCTTGGAGATTCCAACCCATGCAGAGGATGCTGCATAAGCTGCCTTCGCTGCAGTACATCGGTGCCCTGCGGAAAAGCATACTGAGATTTATGGCGAATTCCATTGAGAGAACAGGAGTAGAGGGGTAGGGCAGTGAGGAGTGGGGGCAGAGCACTGAGAGCAGCGCCACTCAACCTGTCAATGGAATGCGGCGTGCTCCCGGAGGGCAGATGAAGGGGGTGATGAGTGGGGGACCATGTGACTGAATCATTCCAAGCCTCGGCACATTTTTTGTGAGGAAGCTGCAAAATACGCGTGAAATCGGTCAGCTAGATGTTCTTCATTATCCTAATATCTATTATGTTTGTGCAATGACCCATTCGGCAGATGTCCAGCTGTCATTGTAAGCGCCCGTACAAAACAGTGGTGCCAAACTACGCATAATTGCTACCATTGCCGCAACGCTCGCCGGCTGATAAAAAAAATTGGAAACTGTGACGTTAAAGGGCCATGTGACTCGTGGTACTCCGCCTACTCCACTTTTCAGGCGAGAGCACTACAATCTGTCCCTGGCTGCTCTCGGCACAGCAAAAGCACTCTCGCTCCACCAATGGATGACAGTGCTCCTGCTGCTGTTCGACAGATGAAATACACCAGCTCTGAAGAGAGCACTTTCAGCATGCTTTTTAAGTGCTTCTGCTATTTCTATGAAATTCTCCGTTAGAAGGGTCTGTTAGCACTTGTCACGGAGACACTGTACATTTTGTTCTGTTACCGTATTTACTCGATTCTACTGCGCCCTCGATTGTAACGCACACCCGATTGCCACCGCGAAAAAAAAAAAAAAGTAAGACATCGATTGCAACGCGCACCCATTTTTCTCGCTGGCCCGCATGATCACACCACTCGAAAAAACGACTCTTTTCGGGAGCGTCTTTCATTTAAATATGAAGTACGGGTGAAGATTGTGCCCATCTGACGTGTAACAGAGCATTGCCCTCACTGTAGTTTTACCGTGGACCGATGTCAGCACGCGAACTTGCTTCGCCCCCTTCTTCTCGACGGTTGTGGTGCCAGGCATGTCGAAGTAAAGAGGCGTCTCATCCGCATTCCCGATTTGCCCAAGCAGGTAGCCATTGTTGCACCGCAAGTTAAGGACGAACCTCTGAAAACTGTGAAGCTTTTCATCGTACTCCTCCGCAAAACTTTTCGCATATGCATGTTCCCCTTCGGAGGGAAAAGCCTTTCCTCTTCATAAAGTTAGTTAGCCAGCACCTGCTCGCTTTCAACTGGCTCCGCATCAGACCTCTTTCTAAGACTAATTGCATAGCCCGCACTTCGAGCAGTTCTGTCGTCACGGGCCGCTGTGCCGCTCGCTGCTCAAGCACATATTCGCCGAGCAGCTCTTTAATTTGCGGAAACCGACCCTGCTGTGGTCCACTGAAGCCTTTGCGTGAAGCTTTGCTGTCGACAATCTTCTGCTTTTGTTTCCGCCGGTCCCGCATGCACGTTTCGGGAACTCCGAACGACTGCGATGCGGCCCGATTTCCGTCCGTTTCTGCACACGCGACGACTTTTCTTTTAAAAGCGGCATCGTGGTGCACTCAAGTTTTTGGAGTCTGCCCTTCCATGCCGTCGATGCTAATGCACTACTAGATGACGAACTCCTCAGCACACGGACGAAGTGCCGCACATGGGAAACACATAGGCAGAAATGGCCGACGCGCCATGCCGACGCATGTGGGGGCGGCCATTTTGAATTTGCCGATGGCAATAGATTGACCGTAATTTTTTTGTTCGTACTTGATTCTAACGCGCATGCGATTTATGAACTCGCTTAACCAGAAAAAAGGTGCGCGTTAGATTCGAGTAATTACGGTACTCATGCATTTGTACGCCGCATAATTCTGAGTACCAGTATAATCACTTAAGTATAAATAAGCTACTGACAATCATTTGGAACAGTGTATCATATTCCTGCTTTGATAAAAAACAAACTAAATTTGCACCAGGTTTTCTTCGTACTCCTCGATTATACGAATATGTACCTCCACCAGATTTCAAGGTTGCGAATTCGGCAATTACATATTTAAATTGGAAGAGTCTGACAAATCATTTGACAGGCACAGCAAGTGCTAATATAGACTTTATCATTCTTTGCTCAGTGGGGTAGGTCAAAATACCACTCTTATTGAAATAGTAGCGCTCATGTTCACACTGCACAGTTTAGTTGATGTTGAATAGTTTATGCATATTTTTTTTTCTAATTGTAAGCCTTCTTTTTTATACTGCTCCAAATTTAAATTTTAGTGCTCCAAAAGTAACATTTTGCTGCTCCAAAACTTTCTCGAAATTGTATTTCTGCTGTTGCACTCCTGATGGTGCCTCGAAACGCTGATAAGTCGCAGAATTCCCTGAGGCACCATACGTCGTTGTCAGCGGTCACCACGCACCCGAAGTCATTACCTGGCCCGCAAGGAAAGTTTATGATGTTACTTTGCTTAACGTTGCTCCAAGTGCCTGTCATAATTTTTATCGCTGCGTGAATGAGGATTAATCAAGAACAAGGCAAGAAGTACACAAGTCCATAAGGCACGAAAGACAAAGCTGAGTTCTCATTGTCAACATGTTGGCGATTTCAATGCCACTCGTGGCTTTGTAGGTGGCAGCCACTTATTTCAGCTGCTTTGATTGGAAAAGCTAAAAAAAGCGTAGGCTCCGAGACATGCATTTTAAAACCGAAAACACTAAAAATACGTCACAAGGTTGCTTATCTCAAAGACCAGGCTTTTCAGGCTCGCATGTCATTGTGCACTAACAAACGAGAAAGGAAATGCAAGCTTTGCAACGAGATCACTGAGTCACTTCACATTCTCATTTTGGTGTCCTCGTTGATCAGTCTTTTGAAAAACACTATGCCCGCACATTAAGACCTGCAGATCGCGCTTCAAACATAACGGGGCACTCGCAAGTGCCGCGCAACAATCCAAATCAGCGCAATGAAATAACACCGCCTTTTTGTCAGCTGCATGTGAAATGGGATCAGGAACTTGTTATAACGTGACCGAAAATGAATCAATATTTGCTAGTAAAAATGCACTTTCTGCGCCTCGATGCAGCGCAGCGTTTGATATAGCAGATGTCCCGCTGTGCGGGAGTTCAATATTTGGGTGCACCGGTCCCATACTTTTGCATAGGAAGTTCAAGGGGATTTCTCAACTGTTCGATATAGCCAATAATTCTATATATCTGAGGTTGATATATGTGGGATCGACAGTGGCAGTAGAGTGCTGAACTGGTTTGTTTTGAGCATAGTGAAGCAGAAAAAACAGTGCAACAGTGTGGCATTGTAGTCAGTGCTGTGTATGTTCACTTCACAATGTCCCGCTGCTGCACTGCTTGTTTCGATTTGTAACTGACATGACATGACTTAAGGGGGCACACTCATCTTAGACATTTTTTTTTTGTTCATTTCTTCAGTGATCTTGATCAAACTGCAGAGGCCTATGCAGTTTTTCTGCTGGTTTCAAATATGTAACTACTTTTCCTGTAACTTGTCCTGTTCCAATGATAACTTAAGTTTATACCCTATCGTTTAAGGCCTCCATAGAAAAAAGAGTGCTTAACAAAAAGTGATATTTAAAATATGGCAACGTAGACTAATGATTTGAAATTGAAAGGGTGCAAGAGTTTTTTCTTTTTGTTTTCTGGCCTTTCTTGATTGTAAAAAAATGAACTTTCCATTTTCAAAAGCAGTTGGAATTATGTTACAATTTTGATGAGTAAATCATTGAAATTGAATTGAAATTCTGCTCCCGTATTTGCATTCTACACACGTACAGGTATCCATTGCAAAAAGAATTATTGTTGTACCTGCCCTAGCTGCAGAGAAATTGAGGACCCAAATCGAACAGTCGTAAACTTACTTTTTCGAGAAAATTGGAAAAACTGATACTAACACGCAGTTTTTTCTTGAAACAACAATCACAGCGGGCATGTTTTGCAATGCTCATAACGGCGCTAATATATTGGTAGCAAAGCTTTGAACACAGGTGCTAGCAAGATATAGACGCCTTGAAGTAGGCTACCCTCATTTTGTGGGTTCCGAATTTTGGTAACACCAAGAATCTGGACAGTCAGAATGACATTACAAGAAAATTACCACTTCCTGGCGTGTGAAAATTTGCAAAGAAAATT